TACGAATATTCAATCACAAGAAAAGAGAAAAGAAATTCCTAAACATTCTAATTCACGATTTTGGGTTTAATTTATCAACTACGAATAATGAAAATAAGACTAGAAATTCTCAACTCAAGACTCAAAACACGAATTCCAACAATGAATAAAGGGTCTAGGGTATCTGGGACAATCGCTTCCGGTTCTCAATGCATTTAGCGAGCAATCAAGAGCTCGGTTAAATGACTCGACAAACTACTCATCTAGAGGTCTATTCTCAGTAACTCTTCGTAACAAGAGGATAGACGTAAACGAATAGTTCTTGAAACAACTAACACATAAACAATACCATAACGAACAAGCTTATTCTCCACAAGCCTAGTTCGAACGATCTCTCCCCTTTCGGTTCTAAGATTGATTAATTAGATTAAGATGGTGATCAATCATCTAAAACCCTAGGTTAAGCACAACTCGTAAAGATTGAGCAATTAATCATGCACATAAACAAAATCGAACCGGAACGATAATCCCCTAACCCTAACTAATGAATTTAGCTACTCATAATGCATTCAACATCAACAAATACAATAATCAAAGCCATTCAATCAATAAGAGAACGAAATGAAAGATTACGATTAATGAATCCAATGTAAAAAACACGAATAAACTGAATCCAAAAGTCGAATCTCGGAGTTTTTCTCTCCAAGATCGAATACCAAGATCAAACTAGGTGAAAGTATGAGTTTTTGAGTGAAAGTACGGAGAACATTCAAAAACTAGAACATCACATAATGCTCCCCGTTTCAAAAGAAAACTGCTAATATAAATCTGAAAATCGCGTCTTCCACGGCCGCGGAGAAGCTCGCGGGCCGCGGTGAAGAGGTGCTCCGCGGCCGCGACATCTCCCGCGGCCGCGACTTTTCTTCTCTGTCCGCTGGGTTCTGAACTTCGCACTCTTCGCGGCCGCGACCTCCTCCTCTGCGGCCGCGGTGAAGAAAACAGGCGCTGGACACATTTTTGGTCACCGCGGCCGCGAGAACACAGTCGCGGGCCGCGGTGAAGGATTTGTGTGACAAGACTGCGATTTTCGGGCTCGTATCCATACATCCGGACTCGGAATTGGATTTCGTCTTTTTCTACTTGACCCCAACTCATCCGTCTAGGTAATAATCCTCGCATGGCCACTTCCCAACCGAGCTACCTAACCTGCACACCACCACCGACAAGAAAAACGCAGAAAAATGGGAAAAACAAACAAGAAAAACCAAAAATGAGCAAAATAAAGAAAACGCACTACAAGACACAAAATGGACCAAGAACCAAAGAAAAAAACCTAGAATGGGAAAAATAAATGCAAAATAAACGAGAAAAACACAAAAAAAATGGAACGAACAATGGTGACAGTATATCCTAATAGAACATCATACATACAACAATATTTCCCAAGATAGTGGGTTTATTAGTCCAGTTCACTAAACCTCACCCATGTGACTCAAATTAATAAGTACTACACATATATGTCTGTTTAATATCTTACTGGTTATGAGTACGCAGTAATTAACCGAGGCCTAGTTCGTTTACAGCGATCAATATAAAACCAATTGCTCCTCTCTGGGATACTGTTCAATACATAAATATACTAGTGCAACTAATCAGTCAAGTCAAACTGTACGGTTGACACTACAACCGTTCACGATGGGGTGTTCATGTCCATCTAGGTTGTGAACCATTATTCTTGTTTCGTGAGTAACTGAGAGTATGATCTTCGGTTTGCCCGATGACGACCCACACTATCTAATGCAAAACAACAGAACATAGAACTTGTTTAATCTAACATGTTTCTCATTCATAAAGGGTAGTGTAATATCATCCAAAGTCAAGCTTTCAGTATATAACACTAACACAGAATTGGTAGGGATGATAGAAGTTGTGGTATCAAAAACTGAGGAGCTGTTCCAGGAGAAGTGTTTGTAGATGGTAAAGTATGGATTGTTTGTGTGACAGTATTTGAAGGTATGGTGGTTGTTTCTAGGAAGTAAGTGGTCAGAAGGAATAGGAAACAAATTAGGTGTAGTCTAGTATGGGAAGGTGCAAAGGGGAAAGTGGTTTCATATGACTGAACATTTCTGGATATTATTGTATTCTTGGTATCCAAGTTGTAAAGTTTATAACATTTACAACCTAATGGATATCCAATAAATATGCATTTAGATGCTCTAGGGGCAAATTTGGATCTATGAGCAGTGAGAATAGATGATAACACAAGCAACCAATAACTTTCAGATGATCATAAGTTGACAGTTTATCATATAACACTTCATAAGGAGATTTATCATGTAAAATAGGGGTGGGAATTCTATTTATGATATGTGCAGCAACTAACACACAGTCAATCCAGAACATCAATGGTAATTGTGCATGATGCAGTTAAGCTCTAGCAACTTGAAGTAAATGTTGGTGTTTCCTCTCAACTCTAGCATTCTGTTGAGGGGTTTCTACACAACTTCTTTGATAAATTATACCATGTGTAACATAGAAATCAGACATAAAGAACTCAATGTCATTACCAGACCCCAGAATTTTCGTCTTTTTATTAAATTGGGTGACTACCATGTTATAAAACTTTTGAATGCACAACTTCGTGTCAGACTTATGAGATAGAGGATATATCCAGTTACTTTTACTGTGATCATCAACCATAGTCAGAAAATAATTGTAATTACCATCATGAGATTTAGGACTGAATGGTCCCCATATATCGCAGTGAATAAGATCAAAGCACTTAGAAGCAATAGAAGTACTAACAGGAAAACAAAACTTCTTTTGCTTTGCAAAATGGCATATATCACATGGTTTAGTAGTCATAGTCTGGCAATCAGAAAGTTCAATAGGCAGTTTTGACATTCTTAAGTAAGACAAATGGCCAAGTCTGTGAAGCCATGTAATAGTGTAAGGGTTTGGATAAGAGGAAGTGGCTTCTGAGAGAATATTAAGAATCATGCAGGCCTATGAGGAAGTTCATAACATAGTATTGATGCTGAGCAAGGGACATAGACACAAAAATATTACATGTACAGACAGAAAAAACACCACAAGTGTATCTAATAACTGGCCTATATGTGGCATATTCATCCTACGGAGCTTTAAAACTATTGTAGTATTTTGTAATAGACATTGCACCCTGATTAATTGTACTCAGTGACTTCTCAATTTGAAAAACCCTAGGACCATACGATTGTGCAATTCATCCCAAACCTCTTGTGCAGATGTGAAATACAACAAATATTGACGTATGTCTTTACAGTAGAGTTCAGAATCCAAGACAAAACAAGGTTGTTCGCACGCAACCATGACATAAACTGAATAGTATTAGAAGAAGGAGGGAGAACGATTGTACCAATCGATGAATCCTCCCATATTTTTTACGTTGAGCGCCATGGTGACTGCGCGCGACCAGGAAGTATAGTTGTCGCCATTGAAGGTCTCTGCGACAATCAAAGCTCTTGGATTGTCTGAAGCATGAAGAAAGAACGGCGTAGACGGATCATCAGTGGGAGAAATCGTGGTCGTCATGCTGTTCTACACGGCGATTGATAACAGATCGGAGTAGATCTAGGTTTTCGATTTTCAAGGCGAAAAACAGAAACCAAAAGGAATTGGAGTAGCAGCGGAATAAAAGAGTGATCGGAGTTTAACCGGCGAATGATACCATATTGAGTTTTACAATCGAGAGATGATTGGCAGAGAAATGTGAGAGAAAGAGTTTGAGAGAGAAAGAGGACGACAGAAGAAAAATTGAGAATGAATAATAAAAAAATTAAGGTTCTTGTACATGGCTTGGGTATTTATACCTATAATCACCTATTGAATAAAGTTGTTAATAACCAAATAACAACTTAAATATACAGAATGGCAACTACTTTACAAAATGCAAATAAGAAAATGACTATTCTAATAGATAGGGAATACTACTTTTTAACGCCCTAAAAAATCCAATGAGGACATAGGGAATAGTTTTCCTCGGTCAAACACATTTCGAACATGCAATTTCCACAACAACATTACATGAATATATCGATATCTTGGATAACTAAATTACATAAATTCAAAATCACAAAATAAAATAAAAAAAAAATTCCAAAATACATCACGCATGAGCCCAAAGGCAATAATGGTTTATTACGGTTTTTTTTTTTTTTTATATTATCTCTGTTTTTATTTAGCAATATTATTAGGTCACTGTGTGTGCTTTTTCATCGTCTTCCTCATCCTTCTCTGTACTCTCTCTTTCTCTCTCAATCAATTATCTGTCATCTCANAAAAAAGCCTTAATTCGTAGAGTAATTTATATACTAAAAAATATAAAAAAACATGTGGACAAAAAAAAAAAGAGTAGACAATGATAGAAAGCACGTATTTAAGAAATACGTTTTCTATACAATTTGTATAGAAAACGTATTGTATAGAAAACGTATTCCTTAAATACGTTTTTTCCGATTTTACAAAAGAAAACATATTCAGTAAATACGTTTTACAATTAAAAAAATGATAAAACGTATTCAATGAATACGGGATTTGTATTTTAGTTCATTCTCATTTATTTGTGTATTTTTTTTCCACAACTTAATTTTTTTTAATTTTCTGGTAAAAAATTCTTAATTCGTAATCCATCCACCAAAAAGATAAAATAAAATAAAAAAAAATTCCAAAATACATCACGCATGAACCCAAAGGCAATAATGGTTTATTACGGTTTTTTTTTTTTTT